AAAAAAAAAAAAAAAAAAAAAAAAGGCAACGCAACCTTTCACAATCGTCTCAAATACAATGGTGTATTTATAATTTCCCTCTTATTATTTGTATTTCTTAATTTTCTATAAATTCGTGTCCAACATTATCATAATTTTCTCAGATTTTAATTTGTGATGAAATATATTTTTCATTTGTTCTCCACTTGCTTAATAGGAAAAGTGCAACAGTATTCTTTCTGATTGGTGTCAAATGCTAATAATATTATTTAAAAAATGCGTATACTAACATCAATCTTGTACTTTCGAGTGACACATTTTATTGGCCGTTTCCTGTAATAATTCCCCTTTGAACGAATGCACTTATCTTTTAAGGTTCTTTTTATACTACTGATGGGAAATATAATTGTATGTATCATTTGGATGCTAGAATGAGAAATATATGACTGATTTAATGAGCTATTGAACTTGAGTGGAAATCTGGAAGATAACGGGATCTAACACGTTTCCTGCAATTTTGGTTTACTTCTTGTTGTTGTCCTTGAAATTGTAACAAATGGTTGTTGGCTCTGCAGTATTACATTTTAATTTGATGGAAAACAGCGGCAAACACATTCTACATGGTTTTTTAGCCATTTTCCTGCTTCTCAAAATATATTCATGTATTTTCAACTGCCATACATATCATTGCTTTGCAGAAAAAGGAGAAGTCCATAGCGATCACTACAAGCTACTCCCTGTTGACTTGCGTGATATTGATAAGTTAAATGATGTATTGGCTATTGCTGGTATGGATCCCAGGTATGGAAGCACATAAGATTTTTCACCTCGTGGTTCAGTGTTTAAGTGCTTTGTACATCCTTAACTATTTGGTGGATCATTTTGGTCTTTTAAGGTCATATTTCACATTTCATTCACGGGAGTTGTTCTGTTAATGTCTTTTGTGATATGCTTACTCGTCTCTGAATTCGTCGGTCTTGTGATCTTTTTAGTCATGGTGTCTTGGAGCCTGTGGGTCGTTGTGGGGGTTAAGGGGGAGGGATATTTGGATGGATGAGTGGGCTGTTTTAGTGAAATATAAGAGTGGGTTTGCACATCTGATAAATCCAACAATTTCCCTACTTTTTGGCTTCACATGGAAATTATTAATATCTTTTATCCTGATATTGTTATCAGTTTGCCGACATTTATAATTGCAGAATGCGTTTTGATATACGTGGATCCAGATTTGAGTCAGGCTATAGTTGGTTGGGCATCAAAAGCATTTTCAACAGCAATATTCTTTTTATATGAGCAGGTTTTGCTTATCTGAACTTAAACAAGTTTTGTATCTTGCATCTCTGGTGGAACTTCTTTCCTTTTGAATTCGGTTGTATTCTTGATATCTCCACTGGAACATGACTTTGTTTTAAATGATGGTTTGGTAACTTGCGACTGCAATCTTTAACAGATTCATCCAGATGATGCCTTCGGCCAACAAATGATCAGAAATTTAGAGGTACAACTGTCTTTGATAGTCCATGAATTATGTAGTCTATTCTTTTCTTTCTTCTTCTTCTTCTTCTTCTTATTATTATTATTGTTATTTTTTTTAAAGTTAAAACAAGCTTTTATTGAGAATAATGATCGAAAACAATAGAAAACAAAACGGCATTAAAAAAACCAGCACAACTAACTGAACCACCCCCACCCTAATACCAAAGGGGGTCCAATCTTTTTTAAACCAAACAAAAAAAAAAAAAGAAAAAAAAAGAAGCGAAACTTTTCATTGAAGAAATGAAAAAAGAAAAGAAAAGAAAAGAAAAGAAAGGGACCACTGAGCCACTTAGATTGACAAAGGATATATTTAAGTTTGAAGTATTCCAATTGAGGCAAATATATCAAAGAGAATCCAGCAAAAGCCTTTGAGATAGAATACCAAGAGGAGGTCTAGCTGCGTGCTGTGGAAAATTCATTCATTCCTTTCCATCCAAATTTCTGTAAAGATAGCTTTAACTGCATTTACCCATAAAAGATTGGCCTTAGGATTCAAGGGAGGGCCAATAAGTGGAACGTTAACCTTGAAAATATTAGTGAAAATCGACTTGGAATATCTTCGTTAGAGCCAATATGTACTGGTGAGAGAATACCCAAAAATTATAAACAACATTTTAAAGAATCCTTCATATTTTGTATCATTTACAACTTGAGGTTAAGTTCTTGATTATATATATGTACAAATAATTTTAATTAAAAATCGAAACTTACTATACACTGTATTACAATACACGATACACTAAATTTTAACTTCGATACATTTAACAAAACCAGAAAGTGATTGTGTATGAATTAATTAATAATCAGTTCTACTAAACACACTGAGCAGTTTAAAACATCCAGAATTGCTTTTGACCCCACCAAAAGCAATCCCAAATGCACCCTCTAGTTTTGTTCTATTTTGGCTTCTATTGTTGGGCTGTCTTTTGTATGTTTTTTGTATTCTTTCATTTTTCTCTGTGAGAGTTCGACATTCCTTAAAAAGAGAAAAAAAAAGAAAAAAAGAAAAGAGAATCAGTGTTGGGTAGTTTCAACTTACTAGTTTCGTAACAAGTGTCTTATTTTATCCCAAGTGTCCATCATAAGTGCTCTCCTCTACTATCTCTTCTAGTTAGTATGATTTTTAGGTGGGAAACACAACCAATCTTTTAGTGAATGATAGAAAGACGGTAAAATGGAAGGATGAATTTGTAAATTAGATTTGGAGAAACGTAAGAGAATTGGTTGCTATTTTTTTGTCAGCAATCATCGAAAGTAAAGGTTTTTATGCACAGTGAATGGTATGGATGACAGGAAAATTTTGGTGTCTCTAATCTTGGATAACAAAGAAATCGAGGGTTTAAAACCCTAGCTTAGATATTGTAAGCATTAGGCTGTCTTAGCTAGCCAAAATAAAGGTTTTTATGCATGGTGAATGGTATGGATGATAGGAAAATTTTGATGTCACTATCCTTGGATAACAAAGAAGTCGAGGGTTCAAAACCCTTTGGGTCTAGTAGATAAGATATAGCCAACAATGTCCAATTATAGCAAAGAAGTTGATGGTTCAAAGCCCTTGAGTGTGAATACTCAACGAGGGGAGGTGCCAAGTGTTAGGTTGTACATTTTTTAATTTTGCGACGTCAAGATCCTCGCACGCTCATGACAAGCCTTAAGAGGAACTCAAGCCTCATTCACATTTTTTTGCCAAACTTTGTGGCTTCGTCAGACCTTGGACGAGATTTGCCTTCGCCAACCGAACACAACTCATGTGGAATCTCAGCTTGTTCGGCCACACATGCCCCCTTGCGTGCATGTTCAATCGTCTGTGACTCTATTTGACTTGCCTTTTCACACTAGGTCAAGTTGTTTGGCTCGATCTTGCCTCTACTTGAGGCTAAAATTTTTCACATGCAACGTTGCATCTCGTATTCTCATCTTGGTTCCCAGTTAACATGGTCCACATGTCTTGATACCATTCCAAGTCCAGGGGTGTCATCGGCCATTGAAACTTACTCGGTCATGTTCATCAAAGAACGGACCCATGTGTCGTTCATATCGGGACATCCCAAACATTCCTTCTCCAATCGCCTCCCACTTGTTTTGACCCACCTTTACGACCCCCAAATCCCTTGTAATCCGACTTTGACTTATCCTCCAGGCACGACAGAGACATCGTACCAATGTGGCCATTGGTGGGCGTCTGCAATACGCTTATTCCTCCCCCTTTATATTATTATAATTTATTTTTTTTCCACCTGTCCTCCATCACCAAGGTTTCCCTCCCTTTATATTTCTTTTCAAAAAGTTTCAAAAAGCACAGGGTATCACACTGTGTCACACGTATGTGCAACAAGGTAGCTCGCTTAGGTCATAGGACCCATGGGTGGTGGAGAGCTAACACCATACCTCCTCCTAAGGTACATTTTGAGGCATTTTTAGTATCGTAGGAGGAAACATGGTTTTGGTGACGGTTGTATGGTATCGTGAAGAGTCCATCTAATGTTCAGTCTATACCAAATTTAGCGAGCATTCATATTTCATATGGACGGACTTAACTCCAGAGCCACATGTCCAAACTCTTTTCGGAACCCCATTTTTGAGGTTAAGGCCTGAGACCCTACCCGACTTTTTATCATGCCTATCTTTGTCCTTCTTGTCTACTTGTTGCCTCCATTGTGCCTATGCCTCATCTTGGCTTCAATGCAAACTTTATACGGTGTGTTAGATGATGCAACGTCCTCCTTAGTCGCATCTTGACACTTATTTGTCTTGGCCATCACGTGGTCGGATGGGCGCCACTTGAGGGTCGCCGCCTTGTCTGTCTCTATGTGAGGGTCACATCCTACTCTTTTTTAGTATGGTTGGTTGTGATACCAAGTACTTTAATACTTGAGGTTATATTGTACTATCTTATCTTTTATAGTTAAATACTATTTTAGTTGTTTGGGTTCTATAAAGTTGCATCCAGATTATTAACTTTTGGATTCCATATCAAGCTGTCTGATTGTATAGAATTTTAAAGAGCAACAGATAGCTACATGTGTATGTAAACTCCTGCTTTCTAAAAAAAAGTTTTATAGATATTTTCACTATAGTCTATAGGTATCTGTTTTTCGGTTATGGTTCCGAGATTGTGCTATCTACTCATTTATATGAAAGAATTTAATGTATCTGTGAACATTATTGATTCAGAGTCGAGGCTGTGCTTTGTTGGGTATCAATGCTACACCAACATTACTTGCAAAGAAAAAGCTTTTTCTTGACCAAGGATGGCAGGTAATTTTTCTTTTTGAAATTTTCTTTGCAATAAAATGAGGCTGAAATACTGCATGTTTCCGTTCTCCTTGGAAAATTCCCTTCTCCTTGGCAAACCAAACAACTGAATTAATATTGAAAGTTAAAAAGATAGAACTGATTCCCCAAGTATTCAAGGTTCTTGTAACCTCCTCACTTGAGTATTCCCACTCAATGCCTAAACCAACCAAACTATTCCTTGGCGTCATCTCCTTCCCTTCCCTCTCTTCATAACTAATTCCGACTGATATACCCTCAGTACCCTAATAATATTTAATTTCCTTATGGTATTCCTTACACTTAGCTCATTACACGTCATTCTCATGGTAATGGTGAATTTGCAAAGCTTTTACCGTAGACAAATTTGATGTCTTGAACCATTTTTTCTGAAGTAGAAATAGGAGTTCACAAGGCTTACACTTCGTTAAAGCCTTGAACAAATGCTTCCCCTTGGATAATATTGTTTGAAATTATTTTCTTGGCCATTTATTGATATTACATAGGGAACAACTAATGCTGCTATTGATGACATATAGTTGAACTGAACTGTACAGTGGATATTTGACCATTCGGGTTTTTTTCTGAGGGGTAACAATTCATTTAGAGTTAATAGCTACCAAATACCAAGTGTAACTCACCCATTGGAAATTAGAGAGGAAAGAGTATGATTGCTAAAAGGGCATTCACAGTTACACCAGTAAAGAACATTAAAACTAACCAAATTTAGGAAATCATCAAAAGTAGAAGAAATGTCCTTGAAAATTCTTCCATTCCGCACCCTCCAAAGAGTCTAGAAGAACACCCGTTAAACACAAGCCAAAAATCTTCTTAGGACCATGAAGCGGATGGCCCACAAAAACAGAAGCAAGAATCTCATAAGGTGTACATGACAAAAGACCACCAAAGGCATCCAACATGTATATCCAATAGCGATATGCAAATGGGCATAATGCAAATAAATGGCCCGCACATTCAACATTTGAACCACACATGACTAACCAGGAGGGCGAGAGAAGTAAGGCATTCAACGTTGAAGACAATCAACTTTATTATTCCCCCATGACTAAGTTCCCATTAGAAAACTTTGATATTTTTTGGGTAAACATTCTTCCAAATCACGAAATAAAGTTTATTAGTAGTTCGTCCATTTGAGTGAATCAAATCCTCTATCAAAGAGCAAACCGTGAAAGTTTAAGAAAGATTAAGAGGCCTATACCAAGAGTCATTTGTAGTCTCCTATGATAAAAGATTGGAGAGGATAGCTCATTCCGTATTTTCAAACTCATTTAAAAAGCTTGTTGAGAAGAATTCCACATAGAAGCAATTGAATCATTTGACCGAGTAGTTAAATGCTACAAGCCTGGAAAGGTATTGATAATAATTTCCCCATTAAGCCAAGAGTCACGTCAGAAACCCGTAAGAAAACCATTTCCAATCCGTATTTGAATACGATCAACAATAAGAGCTATGGTTGAACTAATGAACCACCAAGAACCCCTTAAAATAGGAGCGTGCCAAAAACAAACGGTATCCATAAATGGCATCATAATAATACATCATCATATCATATCAAATCGCTTCATCATAATACATCATAATATTACATAAACATACATGACATGCAAGGGCCACTGGGCACATATCATCATACATAAGATAAGCCTTCTGACCGAACCGATAATAATGTTACTTGCTTGACTGACTTAAGCTGTTGTCACCAATTTATCTTTAAGGAAAGTTTGATTTTGCCTTTTGAAATCTAAGCCAACCTTGTGAGTCCATGACATCAATTTCATGTTCAAATTTTTGCAAAATTATTTCACTAAATTTTACCTTATGAGACTTGAAGTACATTAGACACTTTGCATGATTAGTCTTGGTATGTATATATATGTTTGGTATGTATATATATGTTTATTATAATATTATTTTCCTACAAACAATTTAGAACAGGTTAACAATTTTTTCTCTTTTTCCCTATTTTATTATTATTATTATTATTATTATTATTATTTATTAGTTATTTTAATTATGCTCACCCGTACTCTTGCCAGTTTTAATCGATTTTTTAAAAATGGTTACTGATCATGATATGACTTCCTGACATACATAAATTGTTCTTAGTATTTAATTTCTCAAAATTAGTATTAAAGAAAATGAAAATTTAAGATATAATTTAGTGTGATTTCTTAGAATATATGTATCATTTTGATTATTTCTTTTCTAGCACATTTCAAGAGATTTATAATGAAATTGATAAATTCTGACGAAAAGTGAAATTGATAATTGACTTACCGAAATGGCCTCAAAACGATAACATTACTCCTTGTGGGGTTGAATCTGTGCTTTACCAAGAGACGAACCGTGTACGTTTTGTAGGATTGAGGTAGGTTGCAGGCCTTTTTTTCTTTTCTTTTTATTATTATTAGTTTTTTAAAATCTTTTTTGGTTGTTACAGCTAGTGAGCGTTACACAAAGCTATTAGAGTATGAGTTTTGGATGAACAAAATGTTTATGAATGTTATAGAATGTGGTCTACAAAAGGAACATTTTGTAGTTGTCCAAGCCACCAATGAGGTCTACAAAAGATTAAGGCAAGAATGCATATGACTCAGAGTAGTAAAAGATTCACGACAACGTGATGCATAGAAACTTGGAGTTTGAGGTAGGCAACATTGCATGCTTGAAGATGACCTTGATTAAAGATGTTCTGAAGTTTGGATGAAATGACAAATTAAGTTCACGCTTCAACGAGCCTTTCGACATTCTAGGACATATAAAGGAAAGGTTAGTAAGAATCTTAGCCCATGTAATGAATGCCCTATGTAATCGAGCAATAGCCTTCATTAAGGTACAGTGGCAAAAACCACCAAGGAGAAGAAGCCACAGGAGGACAAAATTGATGGGATGAAAGAGAAATATCGATTCACCATTTAAACACTTTCGAAGACAAAAGTTCTTTTTAGAGGTATATAATGTAACAACTAAAAAAAGATAATAATAATAATAATAATAATAATAATAAAAAGAATTCCTCCGATCTTTCTCTTTTTTTTTTTTATAAAAATGAGAGTTTTTCCAAAACCTCCTACGAAATGTACACTATTCGTCCTTCAGTATTGCACAGATTCAAGCTTATAAGAAGCAATGTTGAGGACATTTCAATAAGTCAATTTTTAAATTCATTTTTTGTCAGAATTTCATCAATTTCGTTACAAATCTTTTGAATTGTGCTAGAGAAGAAATACCAAAATAATACATATGTTTCAGGAAATCAAAATAAGTTTTATCTTAAATTTTCCTTTTCTTTTATCCTTACTTCGTTACAATTATTTAGATTTTAGTTAGAAATTAAATACCAAGAACTACGAGGAAATCATGTCATGATCGGTAGTTAATTCTAGATAATCGATTAAAATTGGCCAAAAGTACTGATGGATAATCGATTAAAATTGACCAAAAGTACTGGGGAACATAATTAAAAAAAAAGAAACATAGAGAAAAGAAACACGGAGAGAAAAAGAGAGAGAAAGAAAAGGAAAGATCTGAAAATTGTTAAATTGTTTGTATGAAAATAATATTATATATAAACAATCCAAGACTAATCCTGCAAAGTGTCTAATGTTCACATGAAGTCCAACACATGACCATCGTAAAATTTAGCAAATTGCTTTATAGAGATTTGAACTTGAAATTGATGTCATGGGTTCAGTTCACCTATGTTGACTTAGATTTTAAAGGACAAAATCGAACTTTCATTAAGGATAAATTAGTAACAACAATTTAAGCTAATCAGGTAAGTGACCTTATTATCAGCTTGGTTGGAAGACTTGTCATATATATATATATATATATGATGACACGTGCCTAGTAGCCCTTGCACGTGTCATGTATGTTTATGTAATATTATGATAATGCATTTTGATATGATATAATGATGTTATGTTATGATATTATGTCTTAGGTTAGCATATGACCTTGTTATTTCTAATATTTACTTTAGTTTATTTTATTATCCTTTTGTATTGTCTTAAGATATTTTTCTTAAACATGTAAGTCCATGACATTGTTTGATTTGATGGAGACGTTTTTAAATAAATGTTTCCACATAAGAAGCTATGTCATGCATACGGTAGCAACTTTAAGTCGGTAGAAACCTAGGGTCGTGACAAAATCAGTAGGAGATAGTATTGGTAATATTAGTTGGAAAGTAGTAGAGTCGTAAGAGTAATTAGATAAGGGTGTTTTAATTATAAAGGTAGGTAATTAGGATTGAGGGAGGGGTCATTTCGGTGGATTGTCCATGTGTGGGATTTGAGGAGATAAATAACCTTATGGAAGATAGGGGTATACCTAGGTCGGGTCGGGTTGGGTTGGGTTGGGTTGGGTTGAAGGAAGTTTTTGGATCAACCAAAACGTTCGGGTTTGTTGGATTAGTAATCCAATTCAACCCGAAATTTTTTACAACCGACCTGATCTGACCCGAAAGTTCGGATTGGGCTATTGGATTGTTTAAAAAAAATTAATTTTAAATTTTTTTTATCTATGCACAATTCATAATTATTCGATAGATTAATCTATAATCATTAAAATATCGTTAAAATGTTTTTTTAAAAATCTATGCATAACAAAAAGAAAAAAAGAAAAAAAAAAGATAATGAATAAGTTAGAGCTTATTATTATCCATCTCAGTTTTAGATCAAAATAAAAAAATCTAATAAACTTATTTTATACTGCTACCGTTGACACTAGAATGTCAAAAACATTTTGGACGATTTTTAATCAAGTTTAGTATTTAAAATTATTTACTTATTATGAGAAAAATGATAAAAAGAAGTGTCTGTGGCTGGAATTAAAAGTAATTGAAATTATTTAGTTTCTATGAGAAAAATGATAAAAAGAAGTGTCTGTGGCTGGAATTAAACCCGCACGGGGAGGAACGATAGTTCTGCCGTTTTACCACTCCAGCACACCTATAAATATGCAAAACATATTGATATACTTTATAGGATTTTTGTTCGGTTCGGGTCAACTCGAAATTTTGTACAGTGAACCCGAAACTCGAACTGAATCTTTTCGGGTTAAGAAAATTAACCCAACACGAAATGATAATCCAACCCAACCCAACACGTATAATTCGGGTTGAGTCGTTTCGAGTTGCCGGGTTCAATGTAGACCCCTACCCGAAGGGCTATTGTTATGTTGTAATTTTTCTTTGATACTGCAATATATTACTATCTCTTGTTTTCTTGTGTTTGGATACCTAACAAACCCATCATTGGATCAAATTCCCCCACTTCTTTTTCCTTTTAACTAAAACCAAATAGAACCGTATTATCTAATACATATTTCCAGAGCTACAATGGTCTACAAGTGGTTGTGAAGCTGTGTTTTTTTTCCTGTGGTTGTTAGCTTTTCATATTGTTTTAGTTGAAGATTGTGATGTGTGAGTACCCTGTGATGTTCTCTTTAGTGACAGTACGTTCTACATTCCTATATATTTATTTAATCTGTTTTGGTTTAATTATTTATAGGAGACTATTTGAATATTGTCTCTTTTGGCTGATAGACAGCTGCAGCATGGGACATGCTGAAAGTGTATAATAACTTGATCGAAGCTCAAGAAAGGCGAAGGTTCGTTTTAGAGTGGTTTTAGCCATCCTCCCTCCTTTGTTTATCTATTGTTGTCAATCTGATGCCATGGTTTGTTTAGTGGTTCATTCCTGTGATGTTTGATGCATTGGTAAACTTGCTTGTGGAAGAAAAAGAATCAAATAGTTGAAATATGAGTGATAAAAAAAAGAATAGAAAAGAAAAGAAAAAAAGTTCAACACCAAACTTCATTTTCGATACATTTGTAATTATATCTAGTGAGATAGAAGGGGATTTTGCTTAATTTATTGATAAAGTTGTGTCTCAAATCTAAGATAATGAATATGGATACAAGACACTAGATACGACACCGACATTGCGACATGTCGTTTTTTAAAAATTTAGGACATGATTTTATACATTTATATGCTTAAAAAGTTAGTTGGATGTATTTCACTCTCAAAATTTATTATTTTTGTCATATATATGTTTATTTAGTATACTTAATAACTGTTCGATGCATCTAACACATCTGTACACTAACACGTGTTCAACTAAGTATTGGACACGTGTTGGACATGGACATGCTAGCCAGAGTAAAGTGTACGTGCTTCTTAGTCTCAAACTAATGTAGCTTTTTACTTGTAATTATTTTCTTTGTTTATTTTATTTGTTTCTGTAAGCTTTCTAGTTACCTTAAGGTTGAAATTACTTTACCGTATAATTGGTTCTAATGCCTTTGATATTTGGGCTTCATATAAAGACATGGAATCCCTTTTGATTAGCTTCATCAATAATCTAATTAGTTAACAACCATCGTGCATTCAGCATGTGCCTTTTTGAAGGTTTATTGATGTCTTCTTTTCTTTCATATGATTTTCCTTTTTTCCTCTTTGATTTTTCCAATTTTTTCGAGATGTATAACAGGGAAGATTTTCATGTTTGACACTTTTGTTCCTCAGAATTGAACGGCTGGAGTTATTTGATGAATTTGAGGAGTGGTACATGATGCAGGCAAGTTTATAACCTATTGTTTTAATGAGAAAAGGCATGAGCGTTTGAATTCCCCTTCTCTTCTTGTATGTTCCCTGCTCAAACTGTTGAGATTTGAGATTTTTCCTTAACTTATTGTGAGTTTCATTGGATGGTTTCCAGGAGCATTACTGCGTGGCCTATGCAATCAATGATTCCCTGGTGAGTCTATTTCGTGACCATATTTGTTTAATATTTTCTTTTATGATTCCTTATTAAGCGACTCCATGTTCTAGACTAATTTATGGCAATACTTTGTGTACTGTAATGATCTTGCCACATAAATTTGATTTTGTCTCATAATGCTCTGGTATTAGACATATTTAATCATTTCAATCCAAGTATTTTACAAAAGATACTGAAAATTCCTTGATGGATAACGGCATTACAGGGTGGAAAGTTTGTTCTTTATATCATCATTCATACTGGCTCATAAGTTGCTTCCTTTTGTGACCCATTTTCACTAGCTTTTTAGACTTTGATTCTCTTGTATGGTCACTTTTTCCTTTACATATGTTATGAACTGGCTTTATCATGAATCTGTTTGTCATGAGCAGTCCATGTCAAAATGAAGAAGATGAATTTGATTATTTAATGATGAAACTTGACATATGTGTAATGAACTGACACGCAATGGACAATTTGAATTACTTCTCTTTCTTTTCCCGTTTGAAGGACACTGTCTTATAACTCTATGTTGCTTTCCTTTTATGACCCCAGGGGCTTTTTGGGAATTTTGGCTTTCCCCGAGACCCGAACGCGCTTGACCCTCCCTCACCAGCATGAGACATACAGAGCTTCCTTCTGGCTACTGCAGCTGCTGGCAATGCTCTGATTGACTCTATCTCTGTATAAGTATGTTGATATTCATTTGTTTGAGCTGCTGGGGGTTTAATATTGATTGAATAAATCTGTTCTTTTTCCCTCTTGTTCTTGATTGAGTTTGTTCCAGATGTTTGGAAAGTGGAACATAGTGGGTCCCTTGAGTTGAAGCATGTAGTAATTAATGGCTATTTTGACTTGTGGGGACTGTGGCATGTGCCAAACATAATGCGCCATTGTTGCCCTCTTTGCTTTATTGCTCCACTTCTCTTTTTCTCGTCTCTTTTTAGTTTGTTGGGATTGGATCAAAGAGATTATGCCTCAAATTCACACTTTATGTGCTCAATTATGCCTATATTTTTATATGTTCTACTTTTTTAAGTCTATACAGCTTTGTATAAAAGTCTACTTTGGATGCTTATTGTTAGATTCATAAATAGTGTGTGATTTGTTTCGATATTTGACATCGAGTAAGATTTTGGTAAAATTTGGTAAATAGCAAAGAAAAGTTTGTATTGAATTTTACCCAAATGGATTGTTTTATTAGGTGAATTTGGTTAGTTTTATACTTTTGAAGTGTTGAAAAGATTGTCTATGGCTTATCGGTAGTTGGACTCTTGTCTTTACTTGAAGAATAGTTAATAATAAGAGTATTTCAGTAAGCGATTCCATTGATAGGGTTAGAAAATGTGAACACATGTAATTACGATGTCATGTTTGATGAGATCTAAAAATTATGTCAATAGCTTTATGTTCAAATTTCATGCTTTGATGTACATGTACGTGGAGCTACTAAGAAAATACCCTGTATTTGTAAACTCTAGGTGTGTATATAGGCTTACGTAGTCTCGTGTCGTTGAACTACGAAAGAAGTTACGTGGCCTCATTGGATGATGCATACATTACTTCCATGTTAACACAACGCATATTCTCTACGAGGCTAACATATATTACCATTTAGGATGTACCTTATAACACATTTCAATTCATGTTGTCACGAGAGGCATACACATGGTCAAATATACAATCATATCAAATAAAACGTACATAGTTATATCAATATGATAACACGTAGTAAGCATCCACAAGACGTGTTGTTCATGCAACATACAATTTTATCCAACTAGTCCATAAGCATTCCAACGGAAGATTATTGAATCGTGCGGATGTGTATGTCTTGTTATTATGTATTTTTACGGTTTTATTTATTTATTTTTTTTGTGAAAAAGATTTTTATTTTGGATCTATCTATTTGTTTCAGATTATGGATGGATTAATCCGAATATATATTTATTTATGATAATAAAAGGTAATAAATCCTTTTTTTTTACCACAAAACTTTATTCAAATAATAATATTGAAAATTTTCAATCAATTAAATCCTTTTAAGGATTTCTTATGAGCTCTTGGTACTCGAAGAAGTGGGTAAGTTCACTTACATTTTAGACTCTATTTAGTGCTCCTAAGCTAGCTTTGACCGAACATTCCAAGGTCCAATTTCACTTGACCTAATAGTATCTATGTATTCCATCTATTAAAAAAATTGAGCTTAGAGCTGACTGGTGGGCCAATTTAGCTTAAACCTCTTAAAATGGTTCATAATTAGTACTCCAAAACAGTAGTCATATTGACCTTTTTTAGCCTTATTTTCATAAAAAAACGGTTCTAAAACGGCCATAAATGGCAAGATGGAACCAAATGAATTATTATTATTTTTCTAAATGCCCCATAAAATGAAAGTTTGTACCTATTATTGTTATGTTTGGTTATATGAATCATCATTGTACACTCAGAAGCGAACATATTTACATAATTTTTTTGAACACAAAACATATTTTTACACTAAAAAATATGAACATATAATTATTGTGTTGTTTGAAGAAAATGTTACATTTACAACTTGTAAGAACATATCAAAAGTTTGGGGCACTCCTGTAATCTCTATTATCTGGTTGGTGCTCTAAATCCAATGTGGAATCATTGATGTGTTCACTATTTGTTTGAGGCATGTTTGGTAGGGTACACTTCAGTATTTTATTTATTTATTTATTGCAAAAATAAATAAATAAATGTTTTAGTTAAAATATATATTTATTCATCGAGAAAAATGTATGAAAACCTTTAAACACAAATTTTTTAAAACATAAACATTCCTGACATAATATCAAAACTTTATTCGAGGATAACATATCATGAAATAAACCAACATCAAATAAATTCTCGATCTCACTTTCAAAATTAACATTTATAAACTCGTGATCCCATAAATAAAACAAATACTATGAAAGTAAAGCATGGCGACATGGACTCAATGCCATAATGAACAATGAACTCATCACATGCCTTATACGTCCTTGTCCTTACCCTTACTTGAAAGATCGAGTACTAAAATACAAATGACTAACCTCCTTGTTGGGAGTTTGGATATGCATACTGAAACGAGAACATGCAAGTACATATGGGGACCCCAAACATGATATGTCAAAATATAGGTGACCAAGTGTCAATTAACCTACTAACCGACAATGTCAACTCTCTAATGGTACATATCTTGGAATCTTGACATGCTTTGCTCAATGGGGAACGACAATTAGTCAATCGAGCTTTAGCCACTCTGATGTAAGATGTCATGAAACTGATGTGTAATTGCCATAAAAATATTTTCATAAATTATACATGTCATTCAATACGCGCGTACGTGAAACTTATTCAAAAACAGAATGGAAGAAAAATCAATGAATAAAAGAAAAAACAAACATAGGTTAAACCCCCAAGTCAAACTGAAAATCAGAGAAAAACCTAATGATCTGGACTCGAACCAACCCAAACTGGTGAAAAACCGAATCAAATTGGACATGAATAGCCAAATAGATCGACAAGAAAAGTTACGACTGATCTGTGCGATGATATTGTGATCGAAGGTGAAGGAGATGCGATCAACTATAGACAAGTGGCCAAATGCAGAATCACGATCGACATAGTGAAAATAACAAACGAAGGGCACGAAAAATAGTGAGATCGAGCTGAGAAGATAAAGCATTCATAACCACTTATAATCAGAGGTGTCAAGATAAAGGCGAACAATAAAGTAGCATTGAGATGAAGCTGACTACGTGTTATCGTCAATTTTTTCAAGAAGCAAAACCATTTCACTTTGTTGCCTCTTGTTCTTATCTATTAAAAAGTTACCTCTTTCATATTAATTTTAGGGTTTTGAGATTGTTTTTCAACAAAAGGAGTGAACATGACTCGTAAAAAGCACAACAGAATATAAAAGATGATATATAAATTAAAAAGAAAAAAAAGATATGTTGTCGGGATCTAATGCTGAATAGATACTTTTGGCCGTTAATCATTTTGATAGAACGATAGTAACATTTAAACATGCACATGTGGCGACAGGAACATGATTGGTTAAATTGCATAAACTTCATGGATAGAAGTTATGGACCTCTCCTTACCATACCATTATTATACATATATTTATTTTAATTTTATACTATTTTTTATAATTTATTTTTGGTTAAAAATAATTTTTAACCATTTAGAAGGTAATTTTACAAAAATATATATTTAAATTGAGTTTCAAATTTTCATCAAATGTTTGAAAATAAATAAATAAATAGAATTTTAAATAAATGATCTGAACAACTCCGACCAACTTAACACAAAAGAATTATGGTTGGATTAAGTTGAGTTGGGTTGGGTTCATTACATAATAAAAGTGGTTGGGATTAAATGTTTTTAGCAATAACCCGACACACCTAATCCAACTTTCAAACACCTTTAAAAATTTAGTCGAACAAAAAGAGATAATAATAATAATAATAAAAAAAGAGGTTTGAATTTTTGGATTTTGAAAGGTTGCTTTAATTTTTCCCTCCCAATATCTTTAGCTTTTTCAATTTATTTATTATTTTTTTTACCCAAAAGGCTCCATTTATTGGAAGAATATCCGAAAACGACGTCATTTTGTTAGTGAACAACTTGATTCCAATTCAAAAGGTTAATTAAACAAGGATATTGTGGAAAATGATGATGTTCTTTCTTTCTTTTTACAATAAAATGATGATTTTGTTCTGTTAATTTTCATTTAATAGATGATTTAATTTAAAAATTCATTCACATTTTTTATTTTCATTTGCTACATAATTTATTAATTTTTTGAAGAAAAAAAAAAAAAACTCGCCCTCCCACAACAATTAACAATAAAATAGACGTTGTCCAAAAAAGAAAAGAAAAGAAAAAACCGAGGTACCCATGGTAAGAAAATGATGCGATCGTTCTATCCTTGAATCATTAGTTTGGGTGATCGACATCAACAGAAATGAGGTTCAATGAGGGAGAGGTCGGAAAAGATGGATAGAGAAGGGGAAAGGATGGGGGAGAAAGAAAAGAAGAAAATGATGGGTCGATATTATTCTCGTCGCAATTAAACCTAACTGAAAAGCAAAGGTTGGGACAATTTCGTCCTCGCCTTCGCCGAAGTCCAAGTAAATAGATTGAGGGAAAGTAAGGTTTTGATCGAGAAATTTTTCTATCATTTATGCATCATTGATCGGTAGAGGGTTTTTTATCTCTTATTTTCGTTTCCGTAGCATAAAAATTCGAATAGAAAATCTGTATCCAAGAAAGGCCTATTTTTTTAATCCATTTTTAATTCCAAATCTGAGCTTTTTATTAACACTATTTAATAGATATTGTTGGTGAATTGATGTGATTTAGAGAATTCATATAAAGTTATTGCATTTAATTTCTAATTCTAAGTAATTGCAACGATAATTAAGAAGGATCTCACATGACAGTTTGTTATTCACTAAAAATAAAACTAGGATAAAAAGAGGAAGATGACAACAATTCTGGTAAATATGATTCTCCAATTAAATCTAGGTAACTGTTAAAATGCCATTTTTATTTTTCAAACACATTTATATATATATATATATATATTTTTTGAGAAATTGATATAGGTCGGTGGAAGAGAGATAATTGAAAAAAGTGTAGGAAAAGTCTGGGGGAGGGCTGATTTAAAAAAGAGTTATTAATTAATTTATTTATTATTTTACTTGAGTTATTACGTCATTTCTTCATTTTAAAATACTCATATTATAATAAAAAAAAGATAATTGTAAACAAAATGGTCCAAATTTGATATCTTTTAAGAGAGAAAGGGGACAGAGAGAGACCCGAAATGGGCGCTGGAAGAGCCAAAAAATCGCGTACAAAATTAGTGCCATACATTCATTCGCTTCCCCCACTCTCCACTCTCCACTCTCCACTCTCCACTCTCCACCAGCGCTACACTCAACTCTCCTCCCACCACCCACGGACGCCGCCCACGCCCACAATGGGCTGTACAGCCTCAAAGCTCGACCAGGAAGACACTGTCCGACGGTGCAAGGACCGCCGCCGTCTCATGAAACACGCCGTCCGTTCTCGCCACCATTTGGCCGCCGCACATGCTGACTACTGCCGCTCTCTTCGCCTCACCGGTTCCGCCCTCTGTGCCTTTGCCGCTGGCCAACCTCTCTCCGTCTCCGACCAAACCCCCTCTGTCTTTATTCACAACGCCCAAAACCCTCCCCAGCCACATACGCCGCCACCGTTGCCGCCTAGGCGAGCAGTTTTTGGTACGAATTCCGTCCCGCCAAGTGTTCCGTCGCCGTCGCCTTCTGTCCATCCTCCTCCGGCGCCGCCGTCGTTTTCTACATCTCCGTCGCACACCATAGCGAGCTCCAAGCTTCCGCGTATTCTCTCAGCGTCGAGTATTTCGTCTTCCGTTCCGCACCGGCAACATCGCCGCCGTAAACAGACGCCGAAGCTCCCTCATATTCTCTCGGAATCGGATCCTTCGTCCTCTCCACGGAGTGAGAAATCTAGCTTTTCTGCTTCGTTTTCCACTGCTTATCCTAATTCCACTTACTCCACTACTCCTTCTCAAGCTTCCTCTGTCTGGAACTGGGATAATTTCCGTCCTCCATCTCCTCCTTCCTCTGAATTCTTCCAGAGTCGATCTCAAAATCAGATGCCACCGAAGCCTCATCCAAACAACCACTACCATGATTACGATGACGAAACTGAACAATCGGATTACATCTTCTTTAACAGGAAATCGGAGAGCAAAAAGGACGACGGTCATCAATTCCAGCAACAGAAGCACCATCTCGACGACACAGAAACAGAAAGAGAAGAAGTTCAATGCAGCGATTGGGGAGATCACTACAGCACAACGAGCTCATCAGACATCGATGAGATAGACTGTACAGACGCCGATTTGAGATCAGAGACTGACACTCAATCGAATTTCGATTCCTCGATCCGAACGGAGTCAGTAGCGCCCGAGCCTGTTACTCCTCCTCCACCAGCCAACTACGCGACGCGGATGGAGAAATCCGATGACGCAGGTTCCTTCGCTGGAAGCTACCGGACCGGTGAGCTCTCGGACCTGAGAATTGTTGTGAGGCACAAAGATTTGAAGGAAATTGTGGATTCTCTCAAAGAAAACTTCGAGAAGGCGGCTGCTGCAGGAGATCCAGTATCGAAGATGCTAGAAATTGGTAAAGCAGAATTGGATAAGAGCTTTCGACAGCTAAAAAGTAAGAACAAAGTTATCTTCATTTTCCATCTCTTTAATTACTTTGGAGTTTCGAATTCGAGGATCAAATTGCTGCAATTCTGGTTCAAATGTTGAATGGAACGACTTCTCATAGATCAATTTATCGATTTCCGATCATATTGACGAAGATTTTCATGTGAATCGGAAACTCATCGCTCCCAAGTTTTCTCGCAATTCCTCATGAACCAAACGCGAAACCTAATTTCTTCATTTCTGCTGAAATCCTTAATTTGAAATTTGATTTTCTCTTCAATCATAAGAATTGAAATTTGATTTTCACAATTGGCAGAGACGGTGTACCATTCGAGCAGCGTGTTGAGCACCTTGAGCTCGACCTGGACCTCGAAACCGCCATTGTCGGTCAAGTACCGACTCGACACCGGTTCGCTCGATCAATCGGGCGGTTCAAAGAGCCTCTGCACGACATTGGACCGGCTTTTGGCTTGGGAGAAGAAGCTTTACCAGGAAGTAAAGGTAAGAAAAAGAAAGATTAGGTAGAGACTTTTTCATCACAAATTTCTAAATTTCCTTTTTTTTTTTTTTTTTTTTAAATTTTTATAATTATTTATTGTGAAAAAGTATTTTATTTTTCAAAAAGGTGTTTTTAGAAATATGACTCAGCAATGTCTCTGCTACATGTTAGCTTGAGTCCACAGCAGAGATACCAAAATGACGTAAATGCCACTGGGTCTTTGCATTTATGATGATACTGCCCTCCATGGCGACGCCTTTTGACTATGGAGGTGTGGCATTTTCGTGATTTTCGATATCATCTTGTCTGAATGACAAACATTTTTCGGTGCAATTATGTTAATGACCGTATTACCCCTTGATATTTGTCTTATTGACAAATGGGTCTGCCTAATTCACTGTTCCCAAGCAATCCTTGAATTTTACATACCCAATTATATCTATATCTATCTATCTATATATATATATTTATTTATTTATTGTTCTACTCTAATATATTACTTTTTAAGACTTTGTGGGTAGCCATTAAACTATGCTCAAGTTTAATCCGTCGATATGTTATTATATTTGGAAGTATTTGTATCTGTTACACTAACTGGATTTCTTTAAGAAAAGAGATTTTGTTTGTGATGAAATGATCTTAAAAACTACATTTTATTGTTACATGCCAAACTTTCATCTCGTTTTATTTTGCTTCATTGTATTGTAAGCGTGTACTTTCATCTCGTTTTATTTTGCTTCATTGTATTGTAAGCGTGTCTAATTTAAGTGTAGAATCACGGACCTCTACAATAGTATGATATTGTCAATTACCCGTTGACCAAAAAATAAGATAATTCAGCTAATATTCTTATGCCTCCCTAGGCTTCCCAAAAGGTCTTGTACCAATGGAGATGTATTCCTTACTTATAAACCCATGATCATTCCCTAAATTAGCCAATGTGGGACTCCCTCTCAACATTAAGCATTCATCAGATTGTAGCGTATTTTTTTTTTCCCTTCTGTAGTATAGTGTCACGAATAAGGGGAAAGCCAGGGCAAAGTCGAACCGGTTAAGGCTGTGTTAGTGTCTAACTATTTGGTACCCTGTGGAATGTCTGGTATAGTTGGTTTCTAGAACTTTGAAACACAAAGAATTCCAGAATAAGTGTAGTTTATTTGTTTTTGTGATCTCTATGTGTGTGTATATTAATATGTGATAGAAAAGGGTAGTGTTATCTTTTTGAAAGGGTAGTGTTATCTTTTTGTTATTCATTCAAAGCCACCCTCGAATATTACAGGCTTGTCATCCTTAGTATAGCCTTTTAATTATGTAAAGAAACTATATTTTTGATGTTTCTGATGGCTAATGTTTTGTATAAAAATTATTTTCAGGCTAGAGAAGGTGTAAAAATTGAACACGAAAAGAAGTTGTCCTCATTGCAGAGTCAGGAGTACAAGGGCGAGGACGAAAGCAAGCTCGATAAGACGAAGGCAGCTATAACTAGACTGCAGTCGTTGATTATTGTCACGTCTCAGGCTGTCAATACAACTTCTACTGCCATCGTTGGTCTAAGAGATTCAGATCTTATTCCTCAGCTTGTTGAACTATGCCATGGGTAACTCCACTCTCTTCAGTATGTTTTTTGTGACAATTGTTTTGGTGCAAAATTATGAGATGAAAACTGTGCAGCAATAGTATTGACAAGAGAATGTTAGGAATCACGATTCTCCACTATTATATTGTCCACTTTGAGTATAAGCTCTCATGGCTTTGCTTTGGGCTTCCCCAAAAGGCCTCATGCCAATGGAGATGCTATTCCTTTCTTATAAACCCATGATCAACTCCTTAATTAGCGGATGTAGGACGTCCTCCCAACAATCCTTCTCTCGAACAAAGTACACCATAGAGCCTCTCCTGAGACCTATGGAGCCCTCGAACAACCTTCCCTTAATTGAGGCTCGACTCTTTTTTCTAGAGCCCTTGAACAAAGTACACTTTTTTTCGTCGCTTGAGTCACTTTTGACTACACCTTCGAGGCTCACAACTTTTTTATTTGACACTTGAGGATTCTATTGACATGGCTAAGTTAAGGGCATTTTGATACCATGTTAGGAATCACGGACCTCCACAGTGGTATGATATTGTCTACTTTGAGCATAAGCTTTCATGGCTTTGTTTTGGGCTTCCCCAAAAGGCTCGTGCCAATGGAGATGGTATTCCTTACTTATAAACCCATGATCAACTCTTTAATTAGTCGACGTGGGACGCCTTCCCAACCATCCTTGCAGTTCACACATCCCTCCATTCTCTGAATTCTGAATTTCAAATTTGATGGTAACAGTCATATTCCTAGATAACCATGCCTTTTTAATTTAAAATGTTTATGCGATTTAGTAAAACAGGCTGGTCTTATGATTTTGAAGCTTCAAGGTTTTACTGGCTTCGAAACTAGTCCTATTAGCTTGAATTGCACCATTTAGAAGAGACTTTTTCCTTGCATGAGTCAGTGGCCTCCACACGTTTATCCCTGAACTATTATTGCATGTGCTAAGTGTGTCATAATTGTTTACTTGATGTTTAGCCGACAACATGTGAGTACTAACGGGAGATATATTGGGAATATTAGTAAGGACATTTTGGTAATTAGTTTGGTGGAACTTTGTTATGAATAGGGAGAGAGGGTTTCTGGGGTAGGTCATATTTTGATATTACCATTTTTATTGATTAAATTAAAATTTTGAGATTTGTATCTATTTGGTCCCAATCGAGCTAACAAATTTTTAAAAATTCATGCATCTACTAAACACAATTCAAAGTTTAGGATTCTATTAAACATAAAGTTCAAATTTATGTCCAATAGATCAATTGATTTTTAAAAATTTCGAATATTTTAGGGGCCTATTAGACATGTAATTGAAGGTTGAAAGATTTATTCGACACAAACGAAAGTCTAGGAACCTATTAGATACTTTTAAAAGTTGAGGGATCAAATAGACATTAACTTCAAGATTCAAGATTAATCTTGTAATTCTACTCTGCTGTGTTCTGTTTGTGTTTGGGATCTTAACATAATGTCAGTGGCCCCTATCCCCATAATACCAGACTTCTACTGATATTTCATTTGAGCTATTGACTTTAGGGACAGTGTAATATGTTTCAAGCTGTGCAATAGGATTAACTGTTCTTTGAATCCAATAACTTTTATTTTGTGGTGGACCCTGTCTAAAAATGTCAAGGAATGTAATGCTTGTCTAGTGACTAGATTTTGTCAGCCGGATCTTCTGCAAAAAAAAAAAAAAAAAAAAAAAATCAATTTAACTGTAATGCCCCCACCCTAAGCATGTATGAGATGCAACGGCTGAAGTAATCCTGGAATGTTTTGCGTCTTGCTTTTGCATTGTGAGTAGTTTTCTTTGGACTTGAGTCTTAATATGGTCTCATCTCCCTGATAGAGAAACTGATCCGGGAAAGCGAGAGATTTCATTGTCCGAGAAATGCTCTTTCCTCTAGCGAGATTAGACTTTTTACAAGATAGCATCCCGGTGCCTTAGTCTACCTGAAGGAAAGTCGAGAGAAAAAGTGGATACTGGCATGGCATGGTTAGAGGATTCAAACTGGTAGGATTGGTTTAGGGTTGGCCATTAGCAGAAAGTGGCTATGTGGTCTGTGGATTGAGAACCCAGAAAACAATCATATATGGAAACCTAGATTATAGAAAATAATTCAAATTTTATAAAAGGATAACGTTTGAGACTCATTCGGGATACTCGACGAGTTGCAACATCATAATACGCCTAGGATGGGGTGAATTCTCTGTTATCTTCTCTCAAGATGGTTTTATGGGGCGTAGATTCATTCACCTGTCTCATTTAGTACCTTTTGGATGGTGATGTTCATATTCATTAGCTGGAGGTTAGACATTTAGACCTTGGATCTTTTGGCACCATTGGGATGTAGACCGAGAAATAGTTGTCCAAGCGACATTTTCATACTACAGCTTGTAGTTAGATAAAGTCCGTGGAGTGAGGGACTGATTGGTGGTTTTGTTTTCTTCAGAGGCAACAAAGAGTTGAAATAATCTGAGTGTCACATTTTGCAGTCATCTCAAATTTAGACTTGGATTGATACAAATTATGTCCACCGGTAGCCGATATTGTCCTCTTTAGGCTTTCCCATTCGGGCTTCCCCTCAAGGTTTTAAAACGCTTTTGCTAGAGGGAAGTTTTCACACTCTTATAAAAACTGCTTCGTTCTCCTCCCTAACCGAGGTGGGATCTTACAATCCACCCTCTTTTGGGGCCTAACATCCTCGTTGGCACTCGTTCCCTTCTCCAATCGATGTGGGACTCCCCAATCCACCTCTCTTCGGGGCCCAGCATCCTTGCTGACACACCACCTCATGTCCACCCCCCTTCGGGGCTCAGCCTCCTTGCTAACACATCGCCCGGTGTCTAGCTTTGATACCATTTGTAACAGCCCAAGCCCACCGCTAGAAGATATCGTTCTCTTTGGACTTTTCTTTTCGTGCTTCTTTTCAAGATTCTAAAACGCGTCTGCTAGGGAGAGGTTTCCACACCCTTCTAAGGAATGCTTCATTCTCCTCTCCAACCGAGGTGGGATCTCACACAAACTGTCTGATGATTAGTGAATATGTTGCCATTTGAAACCTAGAATCTGCGCTAATGAGATGTGTAGGAGGTATCAAGGATTGAAGTACTTTGGACATCGTCTATTTTGTTGCAGAAAATGATAAAACCTTCTTGTATCTTTCATGAGATATATGAACAGTTTTCTCTTGATATATGTAATAAAACTTGACTGTTGGATCTTCCTCTTTTTATTATTTACTATTATGATTTTCGCTTGAAAGACAAGATCTGCATTGTTTGTGGAAACAGAAATCCTGCCTATAATTTATCGTTTTCAATACATTTAATTTGAATCGTTACTGACTATCATGTGATACAGGCTTATGTACATGTGGAGATCAATGCACCAATACCATGACATCCAGAACAACATTGTGCAACAGGTTCAAGGCCTTGTTAACCAAACAACTCATGGTGACTCGACTTCTGAATTGCACCGCCAGGCGACTCGTGATCTCGAGTCCATGGTCACAGCTTGGCACTCGAGCTTCTGTCGTTTGATTAAGTTCCAACGTGAATTTATCCAATCCCTCCATGGCTGGCTTAAACTCTCCTTTCTTCCAGTCAACAACGACAAGTTACCTGACAACAAAGAACCTTCTGAGATATTTTGTGATCAGTGGAAGCTTGCTCTAGATCGAGTCCCTGACACGGTTGCTTCCGTGGCAATCAAAAGTTTCATCACTGTTGTTCAAGGCATATCCGAAAAACAGACCGAAGAGATGAAGATTAAGAAACGGACCGAATCGACATCGAAGGAGTTTGAGAAAAAATCAGCATCAATCATGAACTTAGAGAAGAAGTTTTACAACTCATACTCCATGGTTGGCATAGGACTTCCAGACACAGGGACTGACAATGGGCATATATTAGATGCTCGGGATCCTTTAGCGGAGAAAAAACTCGAGCTCGTCGCTTGCCAAAGACGGGTTGAAGAAGAGAAGATAAAGCATTCCAAAGCAGTAGAAATGACGAGAGCAGTGACACTTAACAATCTCCAAACTGGATTGCCTGGGGTGTTCCAGGCCTTGACCAGCTTCTCGGCGTTGTTCATGGAGGCGCTCGAGTCTGTTTGTACTCACTCTTACTCTATCAAATAGGCACACTACTTTCCCCCTTGTGGTCTTTCTTTTTTTTGTTGCAGAAAGAACGGAGGAGTTGGAAGAAGGCTCTGATATTATCATTATTGGTAAGTAAGTAATAGAATTTGGGTAATTTTATTAATCTGTAAATATCATGAATTTTCGTACTCTGATCCTTTTCCCATTTCCTGTGGTTTGTTGGGGTTAAACAAAAGGTTTGTATGTATAGGAAATTGGTTTGATTGTTGTATCAGATTCACATTTTCAGCCAAATTAATAAATATAAAGCATCTTGCTTTGCTCCCCATTTCCCATTCCCCACTCCCCACTCCCCATTCCCCTCACCCCACTTACATAAGAAAGCCACTATTTTGATTGCATTCTGCGTAGTTATATTTGTAGGGTTTCCCGAACGGTCTTCATCTTTGGGCTAAACAAGAACTTCGTTGGTAAAAATGTATTGGATTTGGCTGAAGCGATCATTGTGGACGACTTTTCTTAAGACCGGAATGGTACCCCACGACTTTCGAAAAGACGGATTCATTTGCTGGCTTATTTTTTTCGATTTATTTTGCTCGTATTTCTAACTTTAACATAGTGTTGTTAGAAGGTAACTAAGTTTTCAATATAAGTATTTTTTTTAAAGTTTATAGAGATAATGTGAAATCCCACGTATGCTAGGAAGGAGAACGAAACACTTTTTACAAAGGGTGTAGAAACCTCTCTATAGGAGAGGCGTTTTAAAACGTTGAGAGAAAGCTTGATAAAGAAAGCCCAAAGAAGACAATATCTGATAGTGGTGGACTTGGACTGTTACAGATGGTATAAGAGCCAGACACTGGGTGATGTACCAGCGAGGAGGCCGAGCCTCGAAAGGAGTGGACACGAGGCGATATACGAGCAAGGAGGCTGAGCTTCGAAGGGAGTGGACACGAGGCGATGTGCTGGTGAAGAGGCTGAGCCCTGAAAGAGGATGGACACGAGGCGGTGTGCCAACAAGGACGCTTTGTTCCGAAGGGAGTGGATTGGGGGGTCCCACATCGATTGAAGAAAGGAACGAGTGCTAGTGAGGACGTTGTGCCTCGAAGGGAGGTGGATTGTGAGATCCCACGTCGGTTGGGGAGTAGAACGAACCTTTTTCTAGCAGACACATTTTTAAAAACCTAAGGGGAAGCCCGAAAGAAAAAAACTCAAAGAGGAGAATATCTGTTAGTGGTGATCTTGAAAACGTTAAACTAATAATAAAGTATTTAAAGATTTATTAAAATGATAGGTATTAATTTTGATGGTTGAAAATAGGGAAAAAGAAACGTAGTTGTTATTACATAATGTAGGGGTGTCTTTAGGGCTTCCTCTGCCAGAACTATTATGTTGCTTCTATCATAACTACTTTAATGAAAAGAAAAAAAAAAGCATAATAAGGTGTTTTTTTTTTCATCATTTCAAATGCTAAATTATAAATTTGGATCATAAATTTTGAGAACATATAAAATACAAAATTAAAAGTTTCGAACACTTATTATACATATTTCAACGTATCTACGCACTAAAGGTTAAAAGTTTAATAGGAGCGTTTATTTAAAAGTTCAAAAATAGCATGACGAGGTGTAACTGTCTAAGCCCACTGCTAGCCGATATTGTTCGCTTTGACCAATTACGTATCACCGTCGCTTCATGGTTTTTAAAACGCTAGAGAGATATTTCCACACCCTTATAAGTAATGTTCCGTTCATTTTTCTCTTCAACCGATGTGGGATCTCACAATCCACCATTCTTCAGAGCCCAACGTCTCGTTCGTACACTGCCCTCTAATGCCCCCATTAGGTTTAATATATATATACAATAAAATAAGGAAAAAAAAAAAACTGACCCCCTTTCCTTAATCCATGTGCCCTTCCTTAAAATATCTCCCTTATCAACAGTTTGGCAAACAAAATAGAAACAGAAAGAAAATATTTTCTAGGCAAACAAAACAGAAGCAAAAAGAAAATATTTTGTGGGAAGAAGAGAGGTATTTAATGGAGAGATGATTAGTCAGATAATAAAACAGAGATGTCATTTGAATAGAGGTTCGTAGTCGGATTTACCTTTTCCTTTTCCTAACAATATTAATCTGTACCAATTATTTAGATCTGAAATAGAAATTAGTAAATCTTACCGAGAGAGTCGATTAAAATTGGCCAAATACTCTCACGTAAATTTAAATGTATAGATAGATAAGAAATAGAGGAAAATTTGGAAAAGGAAAATACAGATAACAGGGAGGAAAGATTTGGAAAGAGAATTAATTAGAATACTTAACATAGACGGAAAAAATACAAAGAAGATCAGAGAGACCATAGTTAACCAAATCAAAAGAAAAGAGGAATACAGAGAAGAAGAAAAAAAATAAAGAGATAGGAACGAACGAAAAAGGAAATATAGAGAACGCCACAAGAAGAAGAAAAAATAAAAGGAAGAGTTGGGGTAAAAATGGATTGGAATTGACGAATAATATGATGAAGTAAGAATGCATTAAAAATTGGCGAAAAATATCTATGAACAAAAATTCAAAGATGAAGCAGAGTACCGAAACAATATCAGAACACAAGAAAGTAGTCACCCCAAATAAAAAATAGAAAATGAAATCTTAATATAGAATATAAAATCGAACTTTCATTAATGATAAATTGGTGACACCAGTATAAGCTAATTAAGTAAGTGGCCTTACTATAAGATAGGTTAAAGATTGTTTGAATTATGATGGTGTATGAGTATGATGTGCTGTGATGTATGTTAAATGTACGTTATTTATGTTTCGATGCATGACGTACATGTTATATGTGATGCACTTAATGACTTTTATGATGATTATGATGTATGCAAGACGATGTGTTAATGTGATGATGTTTTCCATGTGGAACATGCCTTATGATGTTGTGTGCCATATTGCATCATGTCGTAGATCGACATAGGACACAACCCTAAGAGTAAGAAAATGATATTATGTAAATATCCATGAGCACGTGTTACACAGTGTAACAAAGAGATGAGATTAGAGGGTTGTGTCGAAAAAGACGTATAATTGGATTTAGAGGGACCTCATACATATTGTATATTCATAAACATAGAGCTACTTCCCCTAGATGATGAGTGCGGATGCGCACCGTATGATGAGCGTGAATGCACACAGATGAGGGTGTTCATGAGGCGCACGACACTATGGGGTTCCGCTAAACCTCCGGACGTTGCTATAGATTAGCTTGACCAGAGGGTCCAGGAGGTGTGCGAGCGCCCTGGGGATTCATACTCGCACGTGTGAGTTGTGTGCAGGGAAGTATTACACATCCAATTTGTCCGAGATTGGAGGCCACCCTTATGATGTTTAGAGATAGGTCCCTAAATCATGATTGCATGTGTTTGCATTTGTATGGCCCCCTATAGTGGAGCCACTTAATGAGTATTGTTTTAAATACTCAGGCCTACATCATTTTTCAGGTAAAGACAAGGCGCAGTTGTATGGAGGACGGCGACATCACGAGCAAAGACTGTGTCACGTGCATAGGGTAGACTCATATTTAAATTTCTAGTATTAATTTAGAATAGGTTGTTTTGCATTTTATTGTTAGCATTTTTCGAAGTTTAAATTATAAATGATGTTCATGTAAGAGTTATATTTCTGCATTAGAGATGAGCATGAGACGTAGTAGCGTCTTTTAGGGTCGTTATAGTGACTGGCCTAATACCATTTATAGCAGCTAAAACCAACCACTAGTAGATATTGTCCGCTTTGGCCCGTTACGTATCTTATTAGCCTCATAATTTTACAACGCATCTATTAGGGAGAAGTTTCCACACCCTTACAAGGAATGCTTCGCTTCCCTCTCCAACCAATGTGGGATCTCACAATCCATCTTTCTTGGGGGCCTTATGTCACTGGCACACCGCCCGATGTCTGGCTTTGATACCATTTGTAACAGACCAAGTCCACTGTTAGTAGATATTATCTATTTTAGCCTGTTACATATCATCGTCAGCCTCAAGGTTTTAAAACGTGTCTACTAGAGAGGGTGAAGTTTCCACGCCCTTACCAGGAATATTTCATTTCCCCTATCCAATCAATATGAGATCTCATAATCCACCCCCAAACATCCTTGCTTGCACACCGCCCGATGGCTCTGATACCATTGTAATAGCTCAATCCCTCGCTAGTAGATATTATCCACTTCGACCCATTACATATCCCCATCAGCCTCACGATTTTAAAACGCATCTACCAAGGAGAAATTTCCACACCCTTATAAAAAATGCTTCGTTCGTTTCCCTCTCCAACAGATGTGAAATATCACAAAAATAGCTGCCCGTCTAGCTCAGTTGGTAGAGTGCAAAGCTCTTAACCTCATGGTCATAGATTCTCAAGCCCCATGGTAGGTGGAAGATTTTTGACAACGATACAGTCTTTCAGATAAGTCTTTAATTTTCTAAATGAGGGTAAATTAGTCGTCCAACCCAAATTACCAATTGTTGAAGAACATGAAGAGAAGCTTAATAATTTAGGCATCTCCAAAAGGCATATTACTGCAATTTCTTCCCATCCCATCATAGACATTCTTATCGACTCGAATAAACTTTTTTTTTAGTACACACGTTTACATTAAGTAATCTACAAGGTAAAACTTTTATGTAGTGATTTGTAATATATAAACTTGCATCGTCAATTTAAGCTATAGTTAAGATATATACTCTTAACTAGGAAGTATAAATTAATTTGAGCTAAGGTTAAGATATGTTCGACTTATCTAGCTAACTAATAGCGTTTATCCATTGTTAAACAATATCCCATTATTAACATTCTCGATTTAGAAGAACGACGTCGTAAGAGAGTGTATATAAAGAATACTTTTGGCTATCTTTTTCATCAAGACACTTGAAAGAAGAAACAAAAGCTACCAATTCCCAAGGGCCTAAAATGAGAAGAACATTGCAAGCCATTGTCTGTTTAGCTTTGGTCTTTATATTTTCGTCTCTTTCAACTTGTTCTTTACCTTTGTCAACTCGAGGAAGGTGGATAATTGATTCTAAAACAGGACGTCGAGTGAAGCTTGTGTGTGTCAATTGGCCTTCTCATACCCAAAGCATGTTAATAGAAGGCCTAAACCATAGGCCACTAAAGGAACTTGCCGATGAGGCGATCAAGTTGAAGTTCAATTGTGTGCGTCTCACATATGCAACTCATATGTTCACTCGTTATGCTAATAGGACAATTGAAGAGAATTTTGACCTTCTAGATTTGAAACCGGCCAAAGCTGGATTGGTTCAGTATAACCCGTTTGTATTGAACAAGACCATCGCTGAAGCCTTTGAAGCTGTTGTTGATGTACTTGGAGAGAGTGGTTTGATGGTTATTGCTGACAACCATATTAGCCAACCTAGATGGTGTTGTTCTCTTGACGATGGTAATGGATTCTTTGGAGACCGTTATTTTGACCCTCAAGAATGGTTACAAGGTCTTCAATTAGTCGCTTGGCGTTTTATCAACAAACCAGCGGTACGTAACTTAAAAAGATTTTTTTTTGCATATTTTTTAAACTAAACCCTAGCGTATGAATACTATAAGCTATAATAATATCTCATGGTTTAAGATGATAGCAATGAGCCTACGAAATGAGATACGAGGAACCAGAGAAAATGCAAATGATTGGAACAACTACATAACTCAAGGAGTAACGATAGTTCACAATACAAATCCAGATATTTTAGTGATTGTTTCTGGATTAAATTTTGACAACGATCTTCGATGCTTAAAGGAGAAACCATTGAACGTAACAAATTTAGACAATAAGTTAGTTTTCGAGGTACATTTGTATTCTCTTAGTGGAGATCCCGAGAGCAAATTTGTGCAACAACCACTGAACAATATTTGCGCAAATATCATCAATGGATTTGTAGACCATGCAGGGTTTGTAATGGACGGACCAAATCCATTTCCTTTGTTTGTTAGCGAATATGGGTACGATCAAAGGGAGAGCAACGACGCTGAAAACCGATTCATGAGTTGTTTCACATCTCATCTTGCGCAAAAGGATTTGGATTGGGCACTATGGACTTGGCAAGGTAGTTATTATTATAGAGAAGGTCAAGCCGAGCCTACGGAAGTATTTGGAGTTCTGAACTCCAATTGGACTAAAATTCAAAACCCTAATTTTAGTAAGAAGTTCCATCTATTGCAGAGCATGTTACAAGGTACTTATATTCGATGATCGTTACCATTTTCTAAGACCTTAAATTATATATACTCTGTGTAATAACACTGTCATGGCATGCAGATCCAAACTCCAATGCATCGTTTTCTTATATTTTGTATCATCCACAAAGTGGCCAATGTGCCCAAACTTCGAATAACGATACTCAAATTTTTTTGAGCGATTGCTCCACCTCAAGTCGTTGGAGTCACGGTGATGGTGGCAATTCAATCAAGATGGCAACCACGGGTTTGTGTTTGAAGGCTAATGGAGAAGGCCTTGGAGTATCCCTTTCAAGTGATTGTCTGAGTCAACAGAGCGTTTGGAGAACTATATCTAATACTAATCTTCATTTGGCCACGGTCACTCAAGATGGGAAGTACCTTTGTTTGCAGGTTGAAAGCTCTAGTTCTTCAAAAATTGTGACCAATCCTTGTATTTGCACGAATGGCGAGCCAAACTGCCTTCAAGACACTCAAAGTCAATGGTTCCAACTTGTTGCAACCAATTTTAATTGATGTGTAATCTTTTACTATATCAAGTAAAAAGAAAATCTCTGATTTTCATATGAAAATTGAGAAAAAAAAGTACGATTTCACAAATCGTTTATAGAAAATATGAAAATCATTAGAAAAATAATAACAGAGGTGCCTTCCGTGGGGCTATGTCGCTTCCGGGTTGCCCACGAAAAAAAAATCACAGAAATCAACAAAAATCTTCATGCTCATTGAGTCTCGAATGTAGGATGGGTGCGAGGGGGCACGTGACGAGCATTTGAAGGTTGTTTTTTGACACGATCCAATTTCTAAGCTTGCCCGAAATACATAACGTGATTGGGGTTTACTCGATGGTGTAAAAATTTGGTCAAATTTTTCACAAATAAAAACAAATAAATTTGAAATATAATATACAATATATTTACATTATATCAAAATATAATTAATAAATAAGTAGCTTTAAATATAAAAATAAAAAACGAACACAAAATTATTAAAACAATCAAAGTGTTGGAGATGGTGGATGTAGCTTATCTATGACACTTGCTCGCTCTAAAGTCCGCTCGTGACCTCGACCAATTCTTTAGTTACTCTACAAAGATAGAAAACATGGAATGAGTACAAACACTCAATATATAGCCTACATGTCCTTAAGGTATGCTAGAATACCACACTTATTCTTTGTCATGTTTTTGTCGTTGTCCTTAGTTTTTGTTCCTTGGTCCTTGTCTTTGGCTCTTGTTTCTTGAGTGGTACCTAGCAATATTCATGTCTTAGCATACCTAAGCCTTGGGTGGCACTACTTTATGAGATAAATGCAGGACAAACTTTCTTATCTTGATGCATGACCTTAACGTAGCATATTAATTACATAAAAATCAAAAGCTACCTCAAGCTACCTAAATCTTATTTTGAGGTAGCATCCTGATTACTTGAAAATCAAGAGCTATTTTAGAGCTCATCTTAATTTATGGTAGCATCTTGATTGTTTGAAAACCAAAGGGCTATCTTAAAGCTTATCTTGAGTTAGGGTAGCCTCGTGTTGGCTTGAAAATCAATAGCTATCTCAAAAGTCATCATCAGCTAGCGTTTTGATTACTTGAAAATCAAGTGCTAACTTTGAGCTCATCATGAAAAGAGTCTCCTGATTCGTAAATCTTATTTTGAAGTAGCATTCTGATTACTTGAAAATCAAGAGTTAACTCCAAACATATACTTGATAAGCCCTAGAATGAGACCTATCATATTAAATTCACCCTTTGAATTTTATTTGTATCATGGAGTTAACCAAATACTTCCAATTCTACATAAACAAGGACTTACCTTTCAATCTAGACAAATAAAGATCAATAACCTGAACAGAGATTGTTAAGGGTTATTTACATAACTCTATTCAATCAAAATTTTCCCAATAAGAGGAATGAGATTCTGCTGCTATATAGTTCAGTAGCAAACAAATTACCCTCGACTGACAGCTTCATGTTATGTTAAAGCGAACCACAAAGAATCCTTGTTCCCAAACTAAGACTGACAGAAAGCAATGGCAAGACCTACACTTCCAAAAGACAATATATATCCAGAGTTTAGACCCCAGGTTGTGTATGTACACGAAGCTGAGGGTCGGCCTGTATTTGCAGAAACAACAGATGTGAAATATCCCACACTTACGTACAATCCGATCTGCATCGCTCAAACATGTTCAAAACGTCAGGCTGGATTTGAGTAACGAAAATCAGAGCAGTACGGAAATGGCAGTCTATTATCGACGTTCGTAGAATGGAAACTTATACCAGCATGCTATATCAACGAGTCATGTATCAAAATGTTCCTACTCATAGTAGTGCTACTAATACACGAATTATCTTTATCATTAGCAAGAACATAGTTAAGGAGTGCAAACAATTCAGTGTCTCTACGAGAGGAAATAGCTAAAAGATCAACAAATTTACAGTCTAAAACCAATGTAGGCAAGATAGAAAATAGTACTAAGAAAAGAGACTACATAATCTGTACATGCAATTTACTTGACCCAAAATAAAGCTCCAATAAATAATGCTAAAAAGAAGAATCCGCAGCAATTTTGATGTACACAAGCATGAATTTAAGATGGATGCTGGAAGCTGAAAAGGAACTATGACCCGGATGTGCTCACAATGCTTATCAATCCCAGTTATCGACTGCTAGGGCCGCCAAGATCGAAGTCCATAGTGTAATCATATTCGATAGTTGGAATAACAGATGCAACAAATTTTAAGAACAAGAAAAGATACCTACAAAAAAAATGGAAGAAATAAATTAATAAGTAGAAGAGCTTGAGATGCTAGGTCAGGAACTACCATAGCTGGTCTCCAAAACTAGATCTGCTGTTCTAAGTAAAGTTTAACGTACTTGTGAACTTCAGGTTCTACGCCTCGAGACATTAACACATCAATGATCTTTTTCATCACAGCCCCATGTCTGCAGGGATGTACAGACGCATGCTTTCCAGGTAGGTGGGGATGGTCCTCAATGGTCACCTGTATCCCAGAGATTGAATTTAAAACATAATTGGAAAATCATGTTCCACATGACACTTTTGAATGAACAAATTTGTAGACAACAAAACAAATGCATGGGTCCTCCAGACTCCCCGATATGAGTTCAGCATACGACATCTAAAAGAGATTCTTGTTGGTCATCTTAAGCATGAAAATTTTGTATTATCGTAACCACAAGGATCCAAATTCGACAATTCATAAAATATGAGAACTTGAACTTAAAATGACGATTCAGTTGATGAACCTAATCCAACCATACATTTGGGTTATAGATTGGGCGTTGGGTGTTAGTTATTCTTTCGAACTCTCACTTCACCCAAAAAGTATCGTGAAAATATTATGTTTTAATAGCCGAGCCATCCTTTCTGGATATGATGTGAGTTACTGTTGTTTACAGTTGTCGTCATTTTGATTTTTTTAGCTGCAGAACTTGAGATAGGTTTCATAGGATAACGATGATGAATTGAGGAATTTGTATAAAGAGGGCAAAGGCAAAGCTTAGTGCTAACAAAGAAGTTGCTTTCCTTCTTCCTTTTGTGTGTGTTCGTTATGTTCAAGTTCTCAGATTTCATAAAGTCTCGAATTTGGATGTAAGAGCTAATTCTCGATTTTTAATGTTCTTTTACCTCTTTTCTTTGAACAGCGTGGCATAACAAAAGGTACAACGAATCAATCCTAAGCATACGGTTCAACCGAAAATAATATAGAATAAATGATGGGCCTTATAACAGGATCAATCTATTGCAGATGGCACAACTACACTATTACATATTCACAACATACCGTTTTTCGTGCATGATCTTGACTAACATCTTCAAGTACAAGTTCTGGCTGTAAGAGCATCCTTGACTGAAATAGTACAACAATGATTTAAATATGCGTGTGCTAATAGAAGTTGAGTAAACAAGCATTAAAAGAAGTTGCATAGTAATAGAAAAAAAAAAAAAAAAAAATTGGTGCCCATTGTAAAAAAGTTATATTCTATTGTTTACATAGCAAGAAAACTCTAAGAAATCGAAGCAGTGTCAGCAATGTCGAGTTGATCATAGGAACAGTACAGTATATCAATACTTCAATACCAAGAGACAGACACATAAATAATTAAGGAACAAGATAAAAGAATAAATCTGAAGATATAAAGGAAGTCTGTTTATACCGAAGGTATCTTACAACATGGATTGTTGGTTGATATGCCATTCATTACTAGAAAAATAGACACCCAAACTTAAGACACTGGCCTTAATTCAAACGTCTTAGTAAATGAATGCATAGTGATTTGATGTATAAGATCCAAAGTTCCCCCAGAAACTAAGAATTGAAGAAGAATACAAACACAAACCTCGTCATATCCTGTAAGCCAAACGCGTGGTGTCTGGTAATATTTATCATACCTGATATGGTAGAAAAATAGCATAATTGTCAGACTTTTAGTTAACTTTTTCTGACAGTCTAAAAAGCGTAATTATAGAACATAAACGAATCTCCTTATTTTAGATCACACGACATGACACCTCCCAAAAATACATGGTACCATACAATTAGCTATAACAAATATAATTTTAGTATATTCTTTTTCTATGGCTATTCCCTACTTGTATTAATAAAGTTCTCTCATATGCTATTGGTAAAACTTAATGAACTACAGTAATCATCAGGAAAAGTCTGATGGAAAGCTAAAACTTCTTTCGACAACAAGAATTCTCGAGTCCTTGATACACGGTAGGTTTTAAATTTAATCTGAGATTTACCATAACCCCAAAGGACTTTATAGCAGGACCACTCAGGTTGAAGCCAAGATCACTACCAGTATGCCTAATTTTGAAGATTTTAAGAGGACCACAAAGGTTAAGCCACAAACATTTACTTATATACCTAACCCTTAAGAGTTATCACAAATATGACAAGCTGTTATAACCAGAAAATCGAGAAGATTGGGACTCTAGAAGAACACTAAACGATGGAATTGGTTGCCCTTACGATCCTAGGCCATAAATCTGCGCACTTCCTAATCCGTAAGAGTCAGGTGCATCTATGATAATTTTCTACTCGAGAAAATGGCAAGGACTCGATTCCCTGAGTAATGCCCCAATGCTCCAAATAATGAACCTAATAATTATTACCTAAAATTCTTAATAATAACTACTTTTTCTACAAAAAGCAAACAGAAAGTAACCTGCATTTAGGCTGTCTGAACTCCCCCCTCCCCCTCCTCCTCCTCCTCCTCCTCCCAAGAAAAGATTCTTCGGATTACTATAGTCCTTGCAGTACTTTGGAGATTTGGGAGAAGAAAAAAGTGGAGCAATTCATAGACAGGAATTTTTCCGGGAGATCTCGAATTGTACTACAATTCAAGTTTCATATTGGGGTGTCCATTCCTAAGAAATTTTTAACCACCCTCTAGTGTTGCTTACTCCAATTGCATCTTCTTGCTTGTTTGGCTGGACACAAGGATTCTTTCCTACCAACCCATGAACTTTGATATATTTTTATTCAATACATTATACATTATTGTTTTTAAGAATTATATATATACGTATATAAAATTAAAAATACAAATATATATATATAAAAGCAAGAAGAACAACAGAAGAAGTCGCCTTACGTGATGCTGACATCATAAGTTCGTGTTCGTAGGATATTATCGTCGTCAGGTTCATGGGCAATTTGGTAGGTCAATGGCAGAGTGGCCTACAATGAAGAAGTAAATGTAAACATGAATACCTCATCAAAATACAACTGTGATGGATGTGAGCATAGGGATTTTTTTAATCCCAAATGGTTATTATGTGTATGATACAAATGAACCAAGAACTTTCTTTATGAAAACCAAGAGATATTTTTCAAGATGAGATACCACAGAAAGGATCCAGATTATTGCCCCCATTCCATGCCTTGCAAAATAAGAGAGCATGGATTTTTAACTCAAACTTGCAACAGTTGAGTCAAGCTGAAACTTTTGTTTTTGTGTGGAGGGGGGTGTCTTTTATAAAGCTCAATACTTTCAAGTAGAGATGTCTATTTAACCACGGAGAAGGGAAAAAGGAGCGAGGAGAGATTTCTTACTCTAAACTAAACGGGAAGATTTTTTTTTTTAAGTGTTAGAACAATATATTATATTTTTGCATATGAAATATTATTGAATTTATTAGAATGTTTTACATTTTTTTAATAGAAATTATATTGAAAAATGGAAATTATCCATTAAAAAATCTTTTCAAATGAATAAATTAAAAAATGGAGAAAATTTTCCCCCGGAAAACCCGATCTCCGCAAAAATAAATGGAGAATTTCACAGGTGGTGGGGGTAGTTCGCCGTCCCCACCCTGTAGACATCTCTACTTTCAAGCCACATATGCTCATAAACTTGCAAATCATAAAATTTACATACTGCATCAGTTCCAATAACATTGTCAGTATCTTCAATATCAGCCAGGTCAGGAATATCCTCTTCATCTTCACCACCAAAATAGTTTGGAATTGACTTAACAACCTTGGGCCTGCTGATTTCAAGAGTTTCCAGGGAAGGCAAATTTTCCTCTTCATCACTTTTTTCTTCTGCATGAAAGAGCACATGTTATTTACCAAATGTAAATACCTAGTTTCAAACTGAAAGATAAAGGTACCCTTTGGTTTCCCGTGCGTCGCCAGCCAGCCATCACCATCTTCATTATCAAGAAGAACTTCACCACCTGCAGCTTCATACTCCTCTTCTACAGAGGCAGCCCGACGCAGGCAAGGAACTGGAAACAAAGTGAACAATCATCCTTAGTTTTGATAATGACTCAACAAAGTTGATGTCTATTACGCCAAGATTACAATAAAACAATGACGTTAATGATGGTGCTGTTATACCGTTTCTGGTAATCAAGAACTGCTTATCAGGAGGCAAGTAAGATTTCCTCTTGTTTATATCACCTGACTCCCTAAAATCATGAAGGAAAATACATTTTAACACATAATAGACGAATTTAAAACACTCCCAAAACTTAAGGAATAAAATGAGTAAAGGAGGCAAGAAAATAAAAGGTACAATTTTACAAGTGAGCCACTAATATCAGTTTTCATGGGATTGTGGACAGACCCACATTGTCCTTTGCTGAAAAAGGGATAAGGACGGAACGTAGTATACATTGGATAGTGAAATTTTGGGTGAAAGACCGTTAGGAATAACGAATCTCCACAATGGTATGATATTGTCCACTTTGAGCATAAGTTCTCATGGCTTTGCTTTGGGCTTTCCCAAAAGACCTCGTATCAATGGAGAGGTACTCCTTACTTATAAACTCATGATCATTTCCTAAATTAGTCAATGTGAGACTCCCAACCAACAATCTTCAGCAACGACGGTCCTTCAAAGCTATGAAGAACCTGAAAGTAAGTCGACCAGAGGCTATTGTTTCTACTCTAATTTTGTCCCAATAGATGTTATACTTCAAAACAAATCACCAACTTGCTTCTCAAAGAAGGTCGTAGAAATAATTTCAGAAACATAAGAAAAACCAATGATTTAATGTCCCTTGTACGTACCCCTATTTACCCCTCTCCTCTTAAGCTCTCTGAAGAACTCCTGATTCAAAGGACATTAAGGTTTTTTCCCAACTATTCCAAAGCTCTAGCATCCACTAAAACAGAGATAACTGTACTTCTTCATCAAAGTCTACAATGAAAGGCTTACAGTCCAACACAGACCAATTGACCTTAATGTCCTTTGAACAACCATAAACGACCTCCATCCACTGTTTTCGAAAACAGAACAACAAAATTGACAGGATTCAGAAAAGAGAATCGATATAAATTGGTGAGCATATAAAATCTTCCAACAATTTGGAACATCGCAGAATAACGAATCAACGAATTCGATCATCGAAATTGAGAGAAATCACATGAAAATACCAAGACCAGGTGGGACACTTGGAGACGAGATTATCACCGGCGATGATGAACTCAGAGACACTGAGAACGCCTTTCTCTTTGAAGGCGGAGACGGTTCGAGGCCCTGTGATCCTCTCAACAGTTCCTTTGAAGGCCTCGTGGAGCTTCTGCGACAAAGCCATGATCGCAAGCTCTCTGAAATTGAGGAATTAAGATGAAAGATTTCGGAAATTGAACCAGGAATTGGGAAGCCCCAGCAGAATCTTGACTATGATCGACCAGCGAAATTGCCTTCAATGGGGAGAAGACTGAGAAGAGACGTAATGGTTGTTTTTAGATAAAAATGGTTTAAGTTCTGAAGTCAATTTTAAAATACTAGATTTTAGATTAATTACAAATTTCCAGATTTTTTGTTTTGAAATCCCAATTTTCGTTTTTCCTTGAAAAAATTGTTGTTTATTTAAAAGTAATTTTGTTCTTTTAATAGTTATTTAAAATAATAATGGTTAATTAGTTGAGCTAATAAGAATCGTGTTCATTAACTCCATCCTCAACTGTCTGTTAAAGATTCAGACACCAAGCAATTCCGAACATTTAAAGGAAAATTGAATCACGACTGATTCGAATGAATTTCACTCTCCTCTTTGTGATTTCACCACAATTGAGGTTGTACAATCCGCTCGTGGCCTTTGATTTTGGTTTATTTCTGCGGTTTGCATTGTCATTGTTCGCCCAAAGTTGTTGTACGGTTTTTGTTTTTTTTCCTCATTTTTTGATTTGGATCACTTGCTTTTTGATTTATTCACCGATTATTATGTGGTAACTGCTTACATCGTTGAACTTGCTCGAGTATTATATAGATCTTTACTTTAGAGAACACGCTTTGTTGGAGACAAAACTAAGAAGATGCTCATGTGCTACTACAGCTCCTGGTAAAAGCTATCGTTTGGTTCATTTCAACCAATCTAGTTCAATTAAAAGATTTCAATTTTATATCATTCCACTCCTAAAGTGAATGAATTTCTCCACCTTCATTTTAAAAAAGAAAAAAGTTTGAACTCTAGGATTTTTTTTTTAATATTTAAAATAATAGAGAAAAAAATAAAAGGAAGTCAAAAGTCAATTTCAAGGGGATATTTTGGTCATTTCAGCACCCTTAAAAAGAAAGAAGAAAAATGAAATATAGAGATAAATGTATAATTTCACACAAGTTTCACGAAGTAGTTCGGAGGAAAAACTGATCAAAAGACAGAGCTCCAATTGAACCTCAAGAATGGTAAGTTGCGAGTTCTTAGCCAACTTTGAAGTCGTTTATTTCTTTTCATAGTTAACAAAAAAAAAAGAACCCGCTACTTCATTTTTACTTCGAACTCACGCTCGTAGTGGTCGAAATTACTTGTGCGTGGAGGCCCATGAGGGCACAGAGCATGTGTAGAGTGAGCTTTTGCCTGAATCGTCTCCCATTTGTCTGTTTTTTTCACCTTATTCAATGCTAAACATAATTTAACTTGAATTAGGTCTTACCATAAAAATTTTAGAAAATTTAGAGCTCCTAACAAGTAGAAAAATAAGTAGGTGTCTAGAATATGCCTGATTAGAACTTTAGAAGCTTAATATGGATGAGAATGTTATGTAAAGACATTAGGGCGTAACCCTTAATTCAGAACTTACTGTAATGCCCTCGTTTGTGATAGTTAGGGCGTAACCCTAAAAAAAAATTATTGAGTTGCCTAGTGCCATGTAAAGACAAGTTAGAGTGTAACCCTTGATTGTGAACTACCTTGACTAGTGAAGGTCTACTTGGTATAGAGGAATTCGACTTCACTCATTTAAGGTCTCTGGCACATTAGAGAGTGCTGTTGTTAGAGCTCCATTGTGCTTGAAAGGGAGCTTGCTTCATACTATTCAGATCCTAAAATGACATAAAACAAGGAATCTGTTAGGTGTGACTGAAGAAGCTTTCAATTAGTGTTCATTGGTAGACACGTATGCATATGTTAGAGACCATAAAGAGGGTGCTAATAAGGAGACTTGATCCGTGCCTGTTATACCTACCAAGAGCCCGAGACTTGATGGGGGCACCCATGACGAATACACCAATCACATATTGATTTAGACAAACCAAGGATATTAGAATTCAACTAGCTAAGTTCACCTAGAACTCCTAGTCACCTGTTGTTCAATAAAAATATGAGCTTGATAGGATTAGATGACGAAGAAATAAAATTGGCTAACCTTGAAAGCATTGAATAGAGGGGAAAGGTGTTTGATCATTCGATGACCTGGACGGAAACTATAATGACCTTCTTTCTCCATTTATAAATAAGGTCGTCACTATGTGCATTTCTTGACTACTAAGTGTGAAAAATCATTTAAAACATTTTACTGTAAATGTTGTCTTGGACTTAAACATTCGCAAAATTCAATATCAAATTGAAATAAAAGAATTTAAAAGAAATGCATACGATCTAATCGGAGAGCTACAACTTAGATGCAAAGTACAACTACCTCAACTTTATATTCATGACTTTTATAATAATTCAGTCATTTGTATACGGGTGTCTTACTTTTTTCATCCTCTAGGCTCTTAATCGCATCCTCAAGCCAAGGTACTTAACTTATTGACTATCCATCGACTTGGTATATAAAACTCATCTCGGTTCATATCACAGGGTCAACCTGAAAAGCTTCTCCTAAAGTAGCCTTTAAATCACTCCCTGTGAAAGATCGACATGGTCACATGGATGGTGCAACTTGATCATGACATCTTGCTAATAGTACCTAATGCAGGACTTCTCATCTAGGTGAGGGAAAATAGGAATTACATCATGACGTTTTGTTCATGAAACATGGTGCAATGCATCCCACCTAGAAGAGGAATTAGGGCCTCGTAACGCACCACGTGGTTGGAGATAATGATCACCTTAGGACATAGTACCTAGCAACTTTAAATTTCTTTTATTTATTTATTTATTTTTGGGGTGGGTATGGTCTTAGAACGATTTTAGGGTATGCTCTTAGGTGCATAGTTCATTAATAACCCTAGATTTAGTTGAAATTCATGTCATACCTAAGGTAGCCTTAAGCATTCCTAGATCTATCGCATGCCATAAATTATTTGGTAAGGTGGTCTTAGAAAACGTACTCAAATACTTAAAATTTTAAGCAATGGCCCATAGGAGTTGTACATTAATTTTTCTACTTAAACAATCGTTTGATCCTAATGCGGTCAAGCGGGCATGGAAATTTACTAGTTCTTTGATAGTGATGATTTAAGGCGAGGTCGTTATGGTTCAATTTTTTTTGGCTGACGTGGTCGGTTCGGTTGAGATTCTTATGTTCTAAGAAAATGTTTCAAGTTGTTCTTTTTGTTTCTTTTATTTGTTTCGCTATATTTTGTTCGTGGGTCATATCCAATATTTTCCATCACATGTTTCGAAAGCGACTGGCTCCCTCTCTAGTGAGCTTCACAAGTGGTAGTGTGCGACGTTTCAATAGTGTTTTGGCTGTGAAACAATAGAGATCTAACGTGACATCCTGCTCCAAACACAAACACATTCGAGATTGAAGAAGTGGTCCAACCCAACCAATTGGAGTTAGATTCACAACAATTCCATCCAAGTTTGACCAAAGAGTTTGAGATTGGTTTTCAAAGAGTTTGAGATTGGTTAATGTTCAATTCTCTCTAGTTTTTCTTTGTTCAACAACTTTTTTTTTGCCTAATTCAATTGGTTCAATGCGTTTCGTATCGATTCAGGTTAAGTTCTCTCCAATTCAACATCGATTATATTATCTTGTGTCGGTTCAGCTTGGTTGAGGTCCAAATCAACTTCGTTCAGCCTGGTTAAGGTATGGGTCAATTTAGTGACTTTTCCTTGGGTTGAGTTGGTTTAAAAGCTTTTCAAACGATACATGAGTTACGAGTTGTACATGTGTAGTGATAATGGCTTGTGATATTGAGCTCTGTTGAGAGTAAGCCTTTAAAACTTTTGGAATTGGTTAATCGTGGTAAGATGTCTTATCAATGAAACATGATGTTAATCTAGTATAAATGTTACCTATTGTTAGATGAAAGTGTCCCACATTAGTTAATTTAGGGAATGGTCATGGGTTTTTAATCTAACAGCTATGACTTTAATGATGTATATATACTAAGTGATGTGAGCCTAGTGGGTTGTATGTGTACGAAACTAGGTACATTAAATTGATGAACATCCCAAACATAAGAAAGAACTCGAGTCCAAGGCTATAGTTTTAGGTCCCACTAGGAATGAACTACATAATTCAGGTTAAAATTTTTCAATTTCAAAAGTAGGGTCACTTATTAGACGTTTATCATACTCTAATCTTTTACAAACTTTTTAATTTCTAGGGCATCTTAAGTGACTAACCCCGTGCCTTACCCGATTGCTAAGTCGTGCGCTGACCAACTCTCTGAATCGTGGCTTGCATTTTGGCATTTCTTGTCAACCTCTTTTAGATATGAATTTGGCTCGACTCAGCATGGTACTACCCTCATGTTCAGAAGGTGTCATGCACATCATTCATACTATACAATGATGCACACATATGAGTAGTCCATGCAAGAGGTCCTCTTTTCCGTCCTAGGTATAATTACATGGTTAGAGTTCATGACAACATTCTAGAAATTAATCGAATGTGGCATAGTTTAAGAAACAACCAGAGTTCACTAACTTTCTCCAAAATAGACATCCTATTAGTGTTTATAGAAGAGTGTTGCCAGCTTGTTGTCAAGCTCCGGTTGTGTTGGTATACCTCTTTAAACCCGCTCTCAAGTGAAAGCATATCTCTGCTAGTAGAGATGTCTATTATCCTAATGCTGTAGTGGCAGGTACTTTGTTCGTTTTTTTGGCACCTTGCCCTAACATTTATCATTTAGGATATACTCATTTATTCATTTATGTACCATTTGTTAGTTAGACAATGATTAAATTAGAATCACTAATATATGCATTGTCTATCAGTATCCCAATAGGGGATAACTTGGTAGTTAGTGATAGCGTGAAAGACAGATCAAGTATAAGTATCAGATCAAACTCTAGATGTAACTCTAGTAATAGTTAACAGGAGTGACTTCCGTGTGATACTAGGAATAGATTAGTTGGTCGAGAAAATAACTATTTTTTGTCTTTATTATTAATTTACTTAACTCACCACATATATATATATATATATATATATATATATATATATTAATTAGTGTATTAACCAAAACATTAATTTTCTTTTAAAAAATGTTTAGGGGCTAAAATAAATTTTTAAAAAGTTCTTAAATTAAAATAAAATAAAATAAAAAATTTTA